CCACTCACCTCATGCCACCTAAGCCAGTTCCATGACCTGCCCCCGCCCAAACTACTCGTGAAGGACCCAGGTCAATGAACTAGACTTGGACTCTCCTTCAGAGTTACTCTATGAGGTCTTGTCCAGGACCCTAGTTTTGGGCTTTCATTGTGTTCTGTTACAGGATCATCACCATCTAATATTCAAAACAGTAAACATTCAAAACAGGTCTAGGCATCTGAGATGAACACATACTTCTCAAAGGATGAAATTAAAGAAACGAATAAACACATGAAAAAATGCTCCACATCACTAGCCATCCGTGAAATCCAAATTAAAACAACATTGAGATATCATCTCACCCCAGAAAGAATGGCTATCATAACGAAATCACCCAACAACAAATGTTGGAGAGCCTATGGGGAAAAAGGAACCCTTCTCCACTGCTGGTGGCAATGTAGACTGGTGCAACCATTATGGAAATCAGTGTGGAGACTCCTTAAAACAATACAACTGGAAATCCCATTCAAACCAGCTATTTCCCTACTGGGAATTTTCCCAGAGGAACTGAAAACGTCTTATCATAGGGATATATGGGTACCTATGTTTATAGCAGCACAATTTGTGATAGCCAAATCTTGGAAACAACCAAGATGCCCATCACCTGAGGAATGAATGAAAAAGATGTGGATGTGGTATTTTTATGTAATATTTACTCAGCTATAAAGAATGATAAACTCAAAGCCTTTATCTTTAAGTAGATGCCACTTGAAGATATACTTATAAGTGAAATAAACCAGACCCACAGGTGTATTATATAGTCTCCCTAGTATAAGAATTCAGAAGAAGAAATAAAAACAGAAAGTTATAACACAATTGAAAGGAAAGTGAGAACTTGAGGATTTGACAATGAAAAGAGGGCAAGGAGAAAAGCTAGGAAACATGACAGGGGCAAAGCCAGACATTTATATGCACAAGATGGTTAAGGCAATGATCCTGAGACTCTTCAGTATGCTTCTGAAACTAACAGTTAATTGGTAAGATTCTCACCCTGACTAACTATATATACTGATACCTGTGAACTAAGCAACTGCACTGAAGATAGCAATGTTAATAGTAGGATCATGCTTGGAGTGTCTGTCATTCTGGTCTTCTAAATAGGTACTGCTTGTCATGACATACCAATTACTGCCATACTGTCTCTCAAGTAAATGTTTTGTTTAAAAAAAAAAAAGAAGGGTAATAAATGAAACAAGAGACAAGAAAAAAAAATGTCACAGGACTGTCTTGCTACAATGCTGTATATGGTTACACTTAAATTTCTGTGTAAAAATATGTATTTGTTTATTCCTATTTTTAAAGTTTTTTATTTTTTTAATTTTAATTTGTTTTCTTCATATTCTGTAGAGACTCAAAGTTTAACATATCAATACTTGATGGAAAAAAAATATTTGATGAAAAATACCTGTTCCATGTTATGTCTAAGATGTTTAATATTCAGACAGACAGTGAGGTTCAGCTCAACTGTCTATGTTGTAGGGTAATAATAATAAGCTTCTCTTCTGGAGGGTTAACAATCTAAGTTTGCAAACCAAAAATCAGAGAAAAAGAAGGCCTGCAAGGACAGTCAACATTTTGGCCCTAGCCTTTCAAGGTCAGTGAAGACTCAGGACATAGGAAAACTTGTAATGTAACATCATGTAACTCAGTTGTGTCCCAGTTTTCTGTTTAAGGAGATTATGGGACCACAGAGGAAAGTGATCAATGACATAGAGTGTGCCTAAGGAGAGTCACGTGGAGAGAAAAACATTCTCTCAGGCTTTTACACAGAGCAAATTGGTCAAGCAATGGCCATGACATGGCTGACACTGACAAGGATCTACAAACTGCGATACGGGGTTTCAGGATAAATCCTTAGGGGATTTGACTGACCTTCTCAGATACAAACGTTACATTTCTTGCTATATAGGTCTTGCTTTATGTTGGTCTTAATTATCCATGAGAAAAGTATAAAAACAAAGTATAAAAAGTAAAGCCATATTAATATGCTGAGCTGTGAAAGGTTCAAGTCAACAGCTTCTGACATTGCCAGTCCTACAGAAAACTCACTACTATTATGAACTACTGCAGTATATTGGAATATTTTGCTGAATTCACATACCTACAATATTTAAATAACAATGGAATACCCTTCTCTGACAAAACTAAACAAAAGAAGGGGATACAAGTGAACAACCATTTTGTATCTGTATATTCAAAATAGGATAGATATACAACTACTTTATCTTAATTCAATGAATAGAAAGATTTGTTCTAATAGTGCTTGTGGACAGGATATCCTGTCTGCATCTTGTACAATGAATAACCACTAAAACAACAATATTCAATGTATTAACTATTGAAACTGTCCTACTAATTGGTTTTGAAACTGTCTCAATGCTATTTGTTTCTCAATAAATTTAAAAAAAAAAAAAACAAAAACAGGTACAGGTAATCAAATAATTGTGTAGGGCCTATGAATTCCCTCTGCTCCATGTCAGGGAAACAGGAATAACAGCTGTGCCTCTTTTAGTCAGTGTGACTAGTGCATCACTGTGACAAGCCAGCTTGTTGCCAGGTATAGAAATGAAACCTAAATGTGGAGTGAATGCTATTCATGAGACAGTCTTTTCACATTCTTTGCTGATGTTTGTTCTAACAAGAGTAATATCCAAATATCAGCACACTCCTTGGCAGCTGTTCTTGAGATAACTCTTATTTTAGCCCTAAGCAGCTTTTAAACCAGCCACATGCCGGGGAGATGGCTCAGTGGAATAAGTGCTTCCCTGGCAAGAGCAAGGGCCTCAGTTCAATCCCTGGTTCCACAAAAAAAAAAAAAAAAAAGCCACATGATGAACATTAAGTTATGAATCGAGAAGAAAGGCAATCTTATTAGATATATTATGTTTGTTCCTATAAAGACGAACAGTGCTCAGGACTTTCTTATTCTGTATATATTACTGTTTTCAACATGAGGTCAGGAAAGAACAGAGACTGTCTCACTGACAGATTTATGTAAAGAAAATACTTTGAGAAGAGCTGGGTGAGAAACACTGCTTTACAACCAAAACTCACAAGTCAATAAATCAGTTCAAACTGCTGAACTACAATTGACCATTAAAAATGGTCAGAAATTGGTTTCTAAAATGGAGAGAAACAGATGTTCATTCTGGGTGTTTGAAAAATCCTCACTGGGACAAAGTCAGAGGGTCTGTGCAAAGTGGTGAGTGAGAAGGTAAAACACACAACTGTTTATAGGAAAACACAGAAAAAACAAAAATACCACCTCTTCTGCTCTGAGTCAAAAGTAGGAGAGATACACACTCCCCTAGAAATAAAAAATGAGGGTTGGCCAGATAGCTCAGTGGACTAAAGTGCCTGCTTAGGCAGTGTACAGTGCCTGGGGTTCGATCCCTGGTGTGCCATGTCAGCCCCACCCTCGGGGCACGCTGAGATGGTGACTGAGACTAGGCATGGTGGCACACGCCTGTAAGCCCAGTGCTTGGGAGGCTGAAAACAGGAGGATCACTACAAGTCTGATCTATATAGTGACACCCTGCACTAAATACATAAAAAAAAAACCCACAAAATATTAGAAATAAAAAACTCTGAGAAGAGATGGTCACTGATATAAAAAACAAAACATTGCTCTAAGTGGAGAAGTAACACCAGAAGACCAGGAGGTCAAAATTGCTCTCTATTCACAACTGAGCAGATGTGAATTCTAGAATCAAACTAGAATCAACTTCTGGTATTCTAGAATCAAACTATTGTACAATGAAAAAGCAAGAAAAGTAAATGTTAAATTGGTCTGTATTTTACACAGAATGATTTAGCACTCACATAGATATTAATATATTGCTGACATAATGAGGCTACTCATTTGTAAAGTAAGCATTCATGGTTTAATATGGAATAATAGTGGAAGTTCATCGTTATTAGTAATATAAAAAGTTGCAGTATTATAAATACAGTTTTCCAAAACATGCCTGACACAAGGCATGTAGTTAGAGGCAATCCAAAAAACTTCTGTGTTGACTAACTTTGGGGACAGAGCACTAGAGACACATGATGTCTGTAAGAACAGAAGGGCACACAGAACTCAATGAATGGTGACAGTACTCCTGCTCTCTACTGTGACAGGGTGCTAGATGAGATAGGATGTAAAGTGCAGATTCTGCCATTCTCCATAGGAAGGAAGCCAGATCCACGCTCAGTCTTCCTCAAGATGATCAACCATTTCCAAGATGAGTCATTAATGCATTTTAGAAATGCAGACACACATATAATCAGCGTACTCCTCTCACCGCTTAAGTAAAGGTACACAACCCAGAGCATCCTGAGCTAACTCCAGAGTCAGCTGCACTGCTACCTGGGCCAATCAATCTGTCCCCACCAACTCTAGTTTTCCTCTAGGTGTCTTGGATTAGTGAAAAAAGCCAAAGGTTGATCCTGAATTCTAATAATATATAATCACTTATCAATAATGAATTTAGGCACTACCATGTGTTGGTGTGAGAGCTGAGTTGGAGAACTTTTCCCAGAGGAATTAAGTACAGACTGGCACACAGAACGCAATGAATGGTGACAGTACTCCTGCTCTCTATTGTAACAGGGTGCTAGATGAGATAGGATGTAAAGCATCTATTATGATCTCTGGTAAAATAGGAGTTACTTAATAAATTAGGGAATGATAAACATGTTCATTTTATATCATTATTTGTCTCCAAAGGATATTAATGAAATCCATGACCTTTTAATATTTTCCCAGAAGTTAGAAAGACAGTGACAGAAAGAGGAAAACATGAATGTACAAACTGCTGACTGGAACCAGACAATTTCAAGCATCTACCACATGAGAAACTTCAACATAAAAAACACAGGGATTTTGAGTCTACCATGATAAAAGCAGATCACAACATACAAAAAAACACAAGCAGAGCCATTGTAGAGCACAAAGCAAGGTCAAGAGGTGGACTCACGGTATTGGGAACATAGGGGAGGCCGTAAACTTTCTCCTGTGTTTCTTTGAGAATGTCTGTGGTCGACCTCTTCAGAGGGTGCTTCCCATGGTAGATTTGATCCAGAGTAGCGTAAAAAACCTAGACAAATGAAAACATCTACTCAGCTTTGGTAGACTAGTCTCATGTTTAAGATGGGATAAACCAAAGATGTCATAAGTATAACAAAAAAACTTACACAACACAGCTGAAATCCTTCACCAATATAAATGCATGATTCAAGATGTAGTCTCCACCACATTTAAGGCCATGTCCATGAGTAAAAGGAACGTTCTCAACTCTTTCGTGATTAAGGATATTAAAGAATTTTGGGGGTCACTGGCTTCTGAGCTCGGCTCTGGAGGGTGTACCGGTGCCATGTCTGGCCACGAAAGTGGCAAGAAGAAGCCCCTGAAGCAGCCCAAGAAACAGGCCAAGGACATGGACGAGGAAGATAGAGCGTTCAAGCAGAAGCAAAAGGAAGAGCAGAAGAAACCTGAGGAGCTAAAAACGAAGGCCGTGGGAAAAGGCCCCTTGGCCACAGGTGGAATTAAGAGAGCTGGCAAAAAATAAACTGTTCCTTGTGTGTACAATGATGGTGACCCTGGATTCCTGTCCTATTCAGATATCTGGATGCCCCGCCATAGCATCTCTTGACACCTATAACTACAGTGAAGTGTGTTCTTGTAGTCTGTTGTACATGTAAAAATAAAATTTTATAAAAAAAGAAGAAAAATCATACGGTGGCCTATTGTCTCTTTAATTTTCATTCAACTATTCATACCTCAGCTGTGAATTTAAAGTAAACCCAGCCTATAATCCTGCCATAGTCTGCTCTTTGAATCTTTGTTCTGTTTTGAAATCTGTGTTGTCTGGCATTAAACTGACTTATTTGAAAGCCTAAAAAAATAAAATAAAGAAATAAAAAATAAAGAATTTTGAACCATATCCACAAGGTACTCTTTATGTATAATTGTTGCAAGTTAAATTTGTGACCACACAACTGGAATTTTGTCAATATAAATGTAGTTACATATATGAAAAAAGTCAAAACTTGAAATTCCCTGGATATAACAAATCCTATTTGTTTTTTTTCCTGGAATCCTAGTAGATCTTAAGAGAACTGAAATAGTCAGAATCCTAGTTTTATAGCTGGAGGAGAAAAAACACTAAGTAGATAGGGGTCATAATGGAGAAAGAATAAAACTCTAGTAAGTACAGATGTTACACAGAATCCTGATGCAGCTGTTGGAGCGTTTAGTGACAGGAAGATCCCACATCACACCCCACGCCTGGTTTCAGGAAAGCAGCTGCCACATAGGGGCAGTCTGGGTTCACGCAGTCTCCAAGAGAGAAGGAGCCCTGACTCTGAATAGAAGCTGCACACCACTGAAACATAAGAGGTGATGAAGCATCAAAGACAGCTTGAATAAGAAATGGGATGTTAAAAAGAAATGAAAACTAAGCTTTGTATAGAAAAACCTAAGGTAAAGTGCTTTTTCACACCAACATTTGATTTGAATATTAACAAGGTTTGGAATTTACCTATTAGAAGAAATTGACTTTCTTAAAGAAACACTTTAAAGGAAAAATTCTGACATGCAATTAAGTATCTTCCAGATTCAGAAATGAAACTTGTGGAGAATGTGCAGCTGTTGATTTGAAAGAAGTGAGGATTAGTCTGGATAAAAGGAAAAATTTAAATGACCTCTAACTCTGGCTTCATCTAGATACAGAGTTATGGCTCTGAATTAAAAAGTCAGGTTTGAACCATGCATAGAAAAAAACAGAAAACATATTTTCTACATATAAACACTGCTTTCCTCTATTTGGCAATCCATACATACATATAGCTAAATATGGCTCTTTCAATTCTGCATTCTATAATGAGTAACAATGCATAAAGATGACCAGGTGAGCCAGAATTACCATGTCCTACCATTTATTTGTTCATTTATTTGGTACAGGGTCTCCAGGCATGCATCACCATTTACTTACTTTATTTATTTGTTTGTTTATTTGGTACAGGGTTTCCTGGTTTCGGTGGCTAGCACAAAGCACCGAGGGTTCTGGGGCCAGCACAGAATTCAGTACCTGGAATTGAACCCAGGTCCTTGCACTTGCCAGGAAGGCACTTAGACTGCCAAACTATCTCCCCAGCCCCTTACCTATATTCTAACATGGTAAATTATTAGCAATTGAAACTTTTAATTCTAACTTGAACTCAAGTAGGATTTTGGCTCAATTCACAAATAGACCAGAATTCAAGAATTTCCCTTCTACAATTATGCCTTTAAAGTAATATAAACATGGAATAACTTTTGCATTATAAAAACAAAATAAAGTAAATGTGCATTTATTTCATGCATATTTGCTGATAAGCCAAACAACTCTTTCAGCCATCAGCCTACTTGGCCCTCTAACCAGCTATATGCTCCTGGGTCAAAGGCCCTCAGAGTCACAGAAGAAGAGCATGAAGACTGCTTTTAAAACAAGGTTCGGTATGCAGGGGCCAGGGGTTTCATCCCCCAGCCTGCTGTGCTGGCCTGCCTGGGGCGGGCTGAGATGACAAATGAGACTGGGCGTGGTGATGCGCGCCTGTCTGTAATCCCAGCTCTTGGGAGGCTGTAAAACAGGCAGATCAGTAAGAGTCCGATCTAGTAGTGAGATCCTGAACACCCTGTAGAGCCTTCCCTAAAATACAGGAAAAAAAAATAGTAAGTTCTCCCAACCAGAAAAAAAAAATTTTTTTTTTTTTTGGTTATGAGCAAAATATTTTTATTTTGAGAAAGAAAGCTCCTGTCAAAGAGAGGGACAGGAAGGTGGCCCAAGCGGGTAGTTCTCCGGGAAGCTGTCTCTTCCAGGGACTTTTATAGTGTAAAACCATGTGAGGCTAAGGTAGAGAGACTGGGAACTCGCTTAGGTGTGCAGGAGGTAGACAAAACTATGGTCAACCAATGGGATTACAAGCACCATTGCTCAGGTAAAACTGATTAAATCCAGTATCAAATGGGAAAGCAAGTCACGTAGCAAGCAGGCATGAATACGGGACAGGGTCTTTTCCTGTTGGGGGTTGGAATGCGGGATAGGGTCTCTTTCTGTTGGGGGTTGGGCTAGTGACTCACTCGGGTCTTTCCAGGTGATTGATACCTATTTAGAATATCAATCCCAGGTGCTACTCATTTAGCATTTGTTTGGCCTTTAGGTCTAGTCAAAAAAAATTTTTTTTAAAACATCATTTATGGCCCCTGAGAAGGCTGCAGTAATTCACTTCCTTTCCATCCCTGCTGTCTCTACTGTGAAAGCGTGATGTGGAGGCTGACAGAAGCACACACAGGCAGAGCCTGGGCAGGAACGCGCTGCCCTCAGTCCCTCTCTCTCTCAGAACTATTCTTTGGGAGGATGAGAGGAAGGAAAGGTTGTGTTCTCATCTTAAAAGAAGACTGCTGGAATGACTATTCACGCAGGAAGCCACGACACAGACTTCTAAAAGGCAGCATTTTCCTATAGATGCCTGCAAATCAAAAAACTTTTGCAAGTAAACTAAATTCTTAAAAAATTTCAGGGGCTGACGATTTAGCTCAGTGGTGCAGCCTCTGCTCGGCAAGTGTGAGGTCCTGAGTTCTATTCCTGGTACAAAAGAGTCAGAACCTGAATTAAGAAAACAAATGTAAATCATGGTTTTAGCTATATACTATGCATTTTCTTTACTGAAACATATATATTCATATACATATGTGTATATATATGTATTTCATACAAATATGCAATTTGCACATATATGTATTTTTTTGGCAGCACACGTGTGCAAGTATGCAAGGGCTGTACCACTCGGCTACATTCCAGGACTAAAATACACATTTTTTTTGGTACAACAAAAATAGAACACATTCATTACTTTCTAGGGACTGAATTTCCAAAAGTATAAAGTAATTAAATGTGGCTTCCCTCATAAACAGCTAACTGGGTCATCAAGAAGTGAATACTGCCTAAGATGAAAGATGAGTTTAAGATGCCATTACTCAAGATTTGATGAAGAGTAAGGATTCTGTAAACAATCTTAACATCTGTAAATATCTGAACACGCATCTGGTATCAAGCAGTCCTGGTATCCAGATGGTTTGTAACATCTTTCTGTCTGGGAGAAAACATTGTTTTTGTACTGGCAACCTGGGAGATTGGTAGTAGTAATAGTAGTAATAATGTGCAAACTTCACATCTTAAACCACAAAATCTTTTTTCCATGAAAAACTTATTAGTAATGCCTGCAGTACATGTTTGCATTCCTTGGTGGAATCTTAATTCCCCTTTTGTTGCCTTCCTCCATCTCCGAAACCCCCTTTCATTTGAGAAAGATCAACATAGTTGCTATTATATATATTCTTTATTTTGTTCTTCATTTACAAAAACCCTGTGATATGTAAGCTTGTGTGTCTGGTTTGCCCCATTTAATGTTATGGCTTTAAGGTGCACTCATAGTCCTACAAGTGACTCAAGTCTAACTTTCTTTATGGCTGAGCAGTGTTCCATTGTGCGTCAAAAGGACATTTTCTTTCCCCATTCACCTGCTGATGGGCATGCAGGGTGCTTCCAAGACTCAGCTCCTGGGAGCTGCACTGCTGTGGACACAGGCATGCCTCTACCACTGCAACGTGGCATCCTTCATTCTTTGGGGGAGATACCTAGATGTGGGATACCTGGGTCAAATGAAATTTATAGTTCTATTTTTTGAGGAAATCTCCATACTGATTTCCACAGTGACTGTACTAGTGTACAATTCCATGTACAATGCAGAGAAACCCCTTTTTCCCTGCTGCCTTGCTAGCATTTTTTATTATTGGATTTCCTGAGGATGACCATTCTTTCTGGGGCAAGATGAAATTTCAGCATTGTGTGAATTTACGTCTCTCTAAAGGCCAACAACAGTGAGCATTTATTTCTTCACGTGTTTCTTGGCCACCTGCACTCCTGAAAAGTGTCTATTAACTTCACTGCCAATTTTTAATTGGCTCTTTTACTTTGGTGGGTATTATTTTTTGAGTTCAAAATCATTTTAAAAAATACAAAATCAATAAGAATATATATGATTAGGTTTGAGCCCTAATTTGGTTGCTTAAATATCTCATCGAGGAGCCAGTCCTCCTCCTAGGCTTTGCTTTTCCTAACTGAAAATGAGAAATTACCCTCTTTTATGAACTTCGTAAGGACAGTGTGAAGGTTGAATGAGCCAATTTTGGCCAAGTTCTTTGAACTCAGATGAAAGATGTTTTAGCTGCATAATTATCATAATAAATGTGCAGCACTGGCAAGAATGTAAAGCTATGCATTTATGTGGGATAACGACTCTGGAAAACCTTAGAACAAAGCTCCACACACCTGAAGCTGCATGTCCGCGGCAGCACACACCTTCTTCGATTCGCAGAGACGAGACACCATGGCTTTGGGCAGCGGCTGGATAAAGCAAGAGAGGGCACATGAGTGGACAGCTCAGCCAGCCACTGCGTGCGTACACTGAAGAGGCAGCACGTTAGAAATCGCAGCCAGTGGGAAATAAGTAACAGCATTTCCTCAGAATTTAAAAAGATAACTTTAAAACATTTTAGCAACAACGCAAGGATGTTCCATTTAATTTCAAAAAGTAGTAACTGTCAAACAAGGTTTGCCCATAAAAAAAGGATTACAGAGAATGATGATATTGGCACCAATCTTTAAACTCTACTTAAAATGCCAAAGGGGATACTTTTTCTGTTCTTTTGTTACCAAGGAGTGTCTGTTCAAGCGCTCTCTTGACTTTTAAGCACACACAATAGGACTAAAAGATTAAAATGTCAAGAAATTAACAATAATCCATGGTGCCAGCCAGTATTAAAGCTAAATTGATGTCTTGACAAACAGGCTTGATAATGAACTGCAGGTTATTTCTTCAACCTGAACGAAAGCTTGGACACAAGACAGGGTCCCTGTGTAACCTACGGCTTTCTCTATGAGACTAATTGGGTCTAATCCCATAAGACACACATCCTCTTAGAAATAACCTGATAGCACAGTAGAAGAACACTTTACATTTTTTTAAATCATCAATATTGATATTTAGTGAAGAAAGCTACCACTTTAGTCAACACTACACAATTTAAATGACGCTAAATGCCCCTATAAAGAGAAATGCATTATGTAAGAGACCAACAGCAGGTCTCAGTAGTCTCCCACCAGCCCAGGAAGAGGGGAATACCAAAAGAAGGATTGAGTCACTACTAGGACATCCCTGGGGCCCAGAGCAGCCACTCAGCCAGGATTTGCTGAAGGAATGATCACAAAATCACTGTCTGGGGCAGAAGCAGCAAGATCACAGGTTCAAGACCAAACTGGACAAATGTTAAATCTTATGTCAAAATTTTTTTAAAAATTCTTTTAAGGGGTTGAGGTGTAGCTCAGTGACAGAGAACTTAGCCTAAAATGTACAGGACCTAGGTTCAATCCCCACCATTACAAGTAAGACCTAAATAAACAGAGATTCACCTCCTACATCAAAGACTACAGTTGGATTTGTTGACAGCTGAGGTGCAAATCTGCAACCTTTTCTTTTTTTCCTTTTGAAGAAAAAAAGCAAAGCAGTCAAGAAAGGTGATTTTAAAGTTAAGACATGGATGAAAGAAGTTGTATAGTGTACATACTGGTACCAGGCAAGGCCTAGGGCTAATACCAATAGCACTAATCTTATATAAAAAAATAAAATGTCCTCTAACAGAAATATTTGAAGCCGAAATTTAATTGAGCCATGCATGCCAATAGCTGGTGGCAAAACGTTCAGGTCTTTTTAAACCTTGCCGCATTTGACAGCTTACACTGATAGGATTCATGCTATGCTTAGGAGATGGCTCACACTTCATACAGCTTTAATAGTTTTATTTTCATAACGCAAGTGCATGCAGAAGAACACTGTTCTCTCCTCTATCTAACACACAAGGCTACTGAGTGCTCACCCTATTAGGCTGCAGGGACATAGATGGTAGTCAACAGTCAGGTGCCTGCCTGACAGCCCAACCAGCACTGCCCAGCGTTTCCATCTCTGACAATGAGTGCCAGCCAGGTAGGTGGCGCAGTGGTCCCACAGTCATGAATTTGGCAGGCTCAGCCGAGGAAACAACAGACGGATTTGCAAAATGAGCAGGTATTAACTAGTGGAGAGGGGCAAGATGGGGCAATACTTCACACAAGACACAAAAAGCAGGTGCAAAGGGTAAAAAGAGTGCTGTGCTGCTGGCAGACGGTGATCTCGTGACGGGAGAAGCTCGCAGGGTAAGGCCCTCTCAAGCAAGCAAGGGTTCCCACTCAGGTCCCAGATCTGTGGGAAGGAAGACCTCACAAGGTCACACTTGGGTGCTAAAATTCCCATGACTGCAAATGAGATACGATGACAGGATGAAGACAGGAGTGACCAGCAAGACCGCTTAGAAGGCTCTGGTGAGCAGACTGTTTCCTCTGCGAAGGGGGCACCACACTGGGGCAGGATTGAGCATCCTGGTTGCTCTTCTGCTGCACACGGCTGAGAAGCACTTGCACAGCGAGGGCAGCAGCAACAGGGCTGAGGCGGTGAGCAAGACCTGTCTGTCTGAGGTCAGAAATGCTTATGCTATTTTAAGAAAAAAGTATTGATGGGAAAGGCCCACAGAGGGAAGGAAAATTCAAGATGCAGCAAAGAAGAGAGACTGTGTGCACAGGGGTGGGCTCGTCTAGGCAGAGGGCCAGGGAAGTACAGCTCAGGCAGAGAAGCCAGAGGGAAGGGACCTGGAGCCCAGCTCCAACAGGAGCCCTCCAAGCTCAGACGAGGCTTAGCCAGGCAGCAGCACAGGGAGGGAGGCACATTGTGGCAGCGCCAGCCAGCCAGCGGGTGTGCAGGGCAGGATTCTGCAGGTGCAGCCCAGGACAGGGGCCATGGCGGAGGCAGATGGCGATTCCAGAAGGACTTGGGCAACACTAGGCTGAGCTGAGCTGAGAGGGAGCAGGGAGCCACAGCTGCGCTCAGGCCTCCGTGAAGGCTCCCACTCGCTTTGCAACAATGACCGGAAACACTAAGGCTGAGCTCCAAGAGCCAAAGCCAACATTCCCCTTCCCTTTGGAAGCTGGACAAATGCCCTGGGATTCAATCCTACCCATGCAGGAAGGGCAAACACTCCAGGATAAATGGGGGTGGGGGTGGGTACTCCCTTTCCTTGTCAGGTTTGCAATAAAATGAAAGATATAAAGAAAAAGAACATAGAAGAACAAGGACAACTAGGAAGAGCTTATCTGAAATTATGTATTTAAGAAAAATATGAGGGCTACTCCACTGACATCAATACTACGAGAGGACATTGAATAAAGGAGACAGACAGGGATCTGTCTGCATTATTACTTGCAACTTTCAGTGAAATCTATAATTTCTAAGCACAAAGTTATTCCAAAAATTATCAATCCAAGATCTACTATATATGTTATAAAGAAACAAAAACTATTTATCAAAAACACAAGAACTATATGCATCAGAGTGCAATTCCAGTAGACTATTCAGAGGACTCGAACACTGAACTGCATCTTAAATACAGTGACAGCACGTACAGTGTAAATAGTGAAATAACTGGTTTTTTTAAAAATCTAATTTAAGGGCTGGGGAGATGGCTCAATGGAATAAGTGCTTCCCTGGCAAGCGCAAGCACCTGAGTTCAATCCCCGGTTCTGCAAAAAAAATAAAAAATAAGTCAAAAGTAGGCCTATCTATACAATAGTGCAGCTGTTTTGTATTACTGTCTCCTAACTGAAAACTCTCTCATCTGTTCTAAAGAAACAGAATGGACACATCTACAATGGTTAATGAGTAACTGTTTATACATAAAAATACATCACAACACCCAAAACTTTAATACCTTCCATTCTATTAAAATGAGCACTTCCCAAAGTCTGTGATGCTACACATAATAATTATTTCCTCATACAATTAATTTTCAAGACAGAAAATACCCCCTCTTCTAATAATCTCTCAATCTAAGAGATATAATTTCTGAGTTCTTAGGATCTGGACTACTATAACTTGTTAAAAGTTTTAAAGGAACCGTGCTTGCATTATGCTACAATAGTGGCGCATGCTATAATCCCAGCACTCTGGGAGGCTGAGACCTGAGGATTGTAAATTCAAGCCGAGCCTGGGCAATTTAGCAATTCCTGATCTCAAAATAAAAAATAAAAATGGCTGGGATATACCTCGGTGTGAAGGTCCTGGACTCTATTCCTAGTCCTGCAGCAGACAAATTCATAAATCAAGAGTAAAGCTCTTATTAATAATTATGGTAAAGAAAGATGGTACAAGAAGTATCAGAACTGGAGAGAGGCCTTCCAGGCCTATGCGGCTACCTCCAGCATCCTTAAGGACCCCTGAAGCTGCTGCTTCTCATCATCCAGTTAATCCAGAAATACCACCTGTTCTGTGGACCCTTCAAAGACCAGTAAGGCTGAGCTGACTGTGGTGCCTCGGAACACGGACCTGCTGCCTCTGCAGGTCCCATTATGGTGTGTGACGCGCTGGAGCGCAAGGGAAAGGGCAGGGCTTTGAAGCCTGGGAGAACAGGTCTGGATCCTGTGTATTCTGCTGAGCAGCCTCGTGGCCCGGTGTCAGAAACAATTTCTCTAAGACACATTTTCCTATGCAAAATGATATTACCTTTTCAAAGAATTAGATGAGACTCAAGGTAATATATTTTTAAATTGCAATATGCCAGTTTGAACATGCAGTAGATGCTAAATAGTAGTGTTATTTACTATTGTAACTGTCCTACTCAATACAATAACCACTGGCTTTGATAAGCTTTATCTATACTCTCATCTATCTTATATTCTGTAACGGTGGCCTACTTTAGCTGATTTTTTTTTTTTTTTTGGGGGGGTGGAACCAGGGATTGAACTCAGGCCCTTGCACTTGCCAGGGAAGCACTTATTCCACTGAGCCATCTCCCCGGCATGGTGGCCTACTTTAGATATGTAAGTCCTTAGGAGACACAGATGAAGATAAAACAATCCAGTTCAAAATAAAAAATATATTTTCATGGCTTCCCGTTCACATTTCTTGTGATTTACAGAACAGTCACATGCCTTTAACTAAACACATGCATGTGCCCTATCAAATCGCCCAGTTAACTTAAGAACTGCAGAAAAAATGAAGATTAACTTACTTGGTTAGTCAGTCTACATTCCGTATACCACTATCTGCTGCAAAACTTGGTCATTAACTCCCAAGTGATGATTAGACAGTGAGTCAGTTTTTCATCCTCAGCTTCCAGTGCATAACTGGACAAGATTGGCACTAATCAAACACCTCTTCTGCTGATATTTTAATCAAATGAACATCATGCTTCAGGTCTAGATCTGAGGTGCCCAACCATCCCTCATGGGCCAACGAAGCCCCACATGCAGGGAAGTAATGT